GTAGAAAAAGTACCACTTTCGGTTATCGGAAATCGCTCAAAAGTTGATACGTATCTGCGATTTTGATAAAATACTTATATATGAAATTTCATCAACTTAACATTGGTCTGTCCACACTATCCCTTCATATGATGACATCACAGGTGACCTACTCAACTCTACTTCACCTGCCCAGTGTCCCACCAAGTCTCAGACAACATGTTTTTATCGTTTAAAACAACTATTCTGGCCGAGCATGTCTCTGACCACACTATCCATTCATATGCTTTGGACAAAGAAACAAATGAACTCTACTTCACCTGCCCTGTATCTCGCCAAGTTCAGATAAGCAACTTTATCATTCACATCTTTGACAAACATTTTTTAACATTTACGTGATGTGTCTAGAACCTTCGCCACCCGCATGAAAGCCTATCACACTAACAACTTAGCTATTTAGACTCGTGACGTCACTGATGTTTTTTTTATGGTATTGTTTAATACATTGAGTCTCCTTATGCAACTTCATTTACGCGCATAAGCCCTATCATTATTATCTAGATCTAGATAGAATTATCTAGATTCTACGACTCGTTTGCTTAAGTCTTGTTTTGCGTAACTCTTGCTAGATCTAGATTAGACCTATTCTAGATCTAGATAGATAAATCACAAAGTTTTATATCAAGTATTTAAGGACTAAAGTAGTTTAATAAAGAAACTCAAAAATCTATTATGATTTCAAAATGGATTGTATTTTTAACTACTTTTTGTTTCCAGTTAAAATAACAAATCAGTAAGGGGATATGTATGACACAAAACAAAATGCAAAGTTGTTGGGTGGGGGTGAGGTGTGACACACTCCGATGTCGCACCGGCTGACAATCGACCTAGTGATGTATGCTACTTGCTAAAGTCCCCGTAGTTTACACTAACAAAAATTAAAATTTGATAACGATAAAGTGTACTTCATAATGTAGAAAATTAATGTGATGTTTTGATATAAGCTATATATTATCAACGTAAATAAACAAAATTTACACCAATTAGTTTTTTTTATAAAAACCCAACGTATAAATCAGTAATTTTAGAACGGTGCCAGATCAGATGTTCAACGCCTTAGTTTGGCTGCCTTAGCCAGTAGTGGGACAATGGTCTTAGTGTTGCGACCTGGTAAATATAATGAACATTAAACAAAAAAATAAACATCTTAAAGCATCTTTGTTCTTTTGTTTCAAAGATGATTTGATTTTTCTACAAACGTCACAAAACCAAGCATGCACTGAAAATATTTTTTTCAAACAAAACTGGCCTGGCTGCCACAACCCAACTGCTCAAAGGAAGGTCCAGTCGCTACATTCCACAAGCGGCTTCTATGATAAACAAAACTGCGTATTTTGTTTTTTGATAAGGTTACTTAAAACTAAATTACGGGCAAAAGTTGACGGCCGAAGCATTTTGACCAGACAACATTACAGGCATGAAGGCGAACTGCAGCTCATTTTGGAAACTCATCATACAACTTTCCATGGCCTGTTGGACTTCTATCTTCTTAAGTTCGTTCTTAGTGCACTCAGAGTCAGCCAAGGCAGAAATATCTGAATTGTGAACAACCAATAATACATTTGTTATAATTTGGGTGTTTGTTAAGGCAGAAGAAGGTGAATTTGAGAAAATGAAAATGAGATAAAAATCAACTACGCTGGAGATAATTGAACTCTTTACGTTATATTTCAGCAGGGCAAAACTTTATAAGTAAAATAAAAAAAAAAAGCTCAAATTTAAAAACTTTAATTCGATGATTTCCATGTATAGGAAAAACCCACTACATTCCAAAATATATCAATTAGATCCTGCTGTCAACAGAAAAAAAATCCTACCGCTTCATATGAGCATAAGAAATCAGCCACGTTGATCTGACCACGTAGGCCTTTCTTTAGCTCTTCGTTTTCGCATTCGTCTTCAGCTTCCTCATAGCATGAGCTAGAGGCTGTAGCTTTCCTGGAAAGATATAGCGTAATTTGTATTCATAAAACTGTGTATTGTAGCAACTGCTATTGATTTCAAAATAGTCTAAACGTTTGAAGTAATTGCAACAAAAATAATAATAGTGATCTATAAAATGAAAACAGAACTACGCTGAAAATATTTAAAAAAAACAAAAGATGGTATATTTAGTTGGAAAGACAAAAATACTTTTATATAGTACATTAAATTGCTTTAAAGTTTTATATGTTTATCTGGATTTTGAAATAAGTTTGCCTTCAAGTTTCTATTAACTCGAACTACGACCTTTTCATGTCATGGAAGTTAGGGTCGACCAAAAATAATTAAGGCATTTGCCTAGTGGTATACCACTTGATTTCCTACTTGAAAGGCTCGTTTCCTCGATCTCTTTTGTATACCTGACTAAAGTCAGGGAAAATTAACAGACTAATATAAGAATTGCTTCAACAGATTAATGAAGTATATAGCAGTAACTTGAGAACGGTGCCGATCAGATGTTCAACGCCTTCGTTTGGCTGCCTACAGTAGTGGAACAATGGTCTTAATTATACGACCTGATGAATGTAATAAACAATTGTAGTAAATAAAAAATTGTATATAAATTAAAATGTAACATTAAAAAGTATAAAAACTTAAACATTTATAAATGTGTGATTTTGTTTTTAAGGTAATTTAATTTTTTTTACAGACATCACAAAATAAACACGTGACAAAACTCACGGGCGTTCCTGGCCTGGTTGCCACAATCAACATACTCAAAGGTAGGTTCCATTAACACATTCCACAAGCGACTGAGGAAACCTCCGAAACTGCTGCCACAACTTTCAGTAACTGTGTAGATCACCCCCCCCCCCCCTTACAGCTACGCTTCTGATATGGTCAGAATCCTTTTTGAGAAGGAGTGGATGCGATGGAAACGGTGGGGAGCAGGGGCGGAACTACAGTGCCGCCAGACCCCGCAATGCGGGGGGGGGGGGGGGGGCACGCCGTTTAGGGGGCCCACAGCCGCCCATAATCATTTTTTTAAAGTTAAAATTAATGTTCTTTCATTTTTGAGCTGATGATTGTTTTGAAAAAAGAATACTGCAGCTGCGGTTGGAGTATCTTTATTCTATAGACACCATCCCACGCTCTTGTATATTCTTTTTCCTACAATCAAACACACGCTGTTGTCGGAAAAAATTCTTTTGAAAAAAATCATCAATTGCGCGAGAGGCCGCTAGAAATTAAGACGGCTTTTTGAGACCATCCCAAATTAGGTACTGATGGATAAGAGCACATTGGTGCTTTGTTGTCCCTTTTAAGTTCCTTTCTCAGACCCCCCTCCCGCTCTTAGCCTTACAAGAAGCGAATAGATAGCGCCTTAACAACTAAGCTGGCTCGTATCGGTGGTAGTGTTGACAAACTAGCGCCCCAACAACTAATATCCAAGAAATAAAATGCCGACATTGTTTACATTTAATAACCACTGTTCTAGAAAACAAGGCAAACGTCTCAAATAAATACACGAATGATAGCGTGATATATATATATATATATATATATATATATATATATATATATATATATATATATATATATATATATATATATATATATATATATTAGTTTCGTCACTGGCACCTTGATAGTGGTTTTGTAAATAACAAACAGATAACAGATCTAATACTGTAGTGATATTATATAGTAGCTAAGACATGCTGTTGCGTAAAAAAAAAATTTTAAAATATACACATGAGCTGTAGTGTGAAAGATAGGCAAACGTTCAAACCACTTCCATAAATTATTTCCTTTTTTCAAATAGCCAAAGAGGGGTGCTAATAAGCTCCTTTTAATAGATTTTTAATAATCAAATTAAACAGCAATTACTTATCTTAATTATTATTTTTTAAAAAAATAAGTACTATAGAATGGTATAGTATAATAATGAAATGTAGTTAAAACTAATAATATAAATACAAAAAAACATAAAAATAAACATAACACGAGACACCATTACTTATACAAAGCTTCATGATTTATATAATTTTGACCGACTTAATGAGTTGGAGTATTAAGGCAAACACAAATGAAAACAGATATTTTCAAAACAGACCAATGCACTCATACATATGACATGTTGTTGTGATTAGATTTAATTGAATTTTTTTTTTCAAAACCCGATCAGGTCAGAAATGAGTATCCTATGTGCGTATTGTATATATATATATATATATATATATATATATATATATATATATATATATATATATATATATATAGGCCCTATATATATATATATATATATATATATATATATATATATATATATATATATATATATATATATATATATATATATATATATATATATATATACATATATGGGCCCGAAAAAAATTTTTGCGGGGTGGCCCATTTTTTCTAGATTCGCCACTGGTGGGGAGGGGTAAGTATGATTTTATTTGTTGGAGTTGGAATCCAATTAATCACGTTCTACTGATATATCATAGCTTAATAACAATTTTAAAAATGTTTTGCTATAAATGTAGTTTCACTGAATGACGTATGCACATGAAGTAAAACAACTGTTAATAATATATATTTCGTAACTACCTTTTTCAAATGTATCCAGTAGCTTCACGTGGCAATGGCGGGTCTGTGGTCCCCAGCAGTTACGCAAATGAGGGAGTGACACCACGAGGAAGAATTTACAGTAAAAACCATGTTGTATCCATTTTAAATAACAAAATGGTTAGGGAGAATTGGGTGACACCAAACCAATAATCAAAATAGTTGAAGAGGGTGTGGTAACACACATAGTTACTGCACCGTTAAACACCTCACTCAGGGACACCAATAAATGTATCACACTTAAATTATACTGCTTGTTTAAATTCCCGTAGCTTACCCTAAACAAAATTTAATGCATTCGAAATTTTTATTTAGGAATATTTAATGGTATGCAAAGTAATTTGGGTATAGATGTAAGCTTTCTATTTGTAACTTATAAAAGTCACAAAAAATAACGAGATTCATACCAATTTCATTTTTAATGAAAACACATTTTAATGACCAGACAAATATAAGAAATGCTTCAACAGATTAATGAAGTATATTGCAGTAACTTGAGAACGGTGCTAGATCAGATGCTCAACGCCTTCGTTTGGCGGCCTTAGCCAGTAGTGGGACAATGGTCTCAATGCTGCGACCTGGTGAATATAATGAACAATTTTAGCAATATATGAAAATTGTATATAAAGCAAAATTTAACAGCAAATATATACAAAAACTTAAAACCTATACATGTGTTATTTTATTTTTAAGGTAATTTAATTTATCTTTACAATTATCACAAAACAAACAAGTTCTAAATGTTTAAATTCTCACACAACTTACGGGCATTCCTGGCCTGGTTGCCACAACCCAGCTGCTCAAAGGAAGGTCCAGTCGCCACATTCCACATGCGGCTGAGGAAACCTCCAACACTGCTACCACAGCTTTCAGTAGCTTTGTTGATCACGCAAACGGACAGTTGATCCACCAATCTACGGAAGAAATGTTTGCAAAGAAATAATAAGTGGGGAACGCTGCAATGATTTTCTACAATATTTACCCTTATTCACACAATACTTTAGTAATAACATATAAAGAAGTTACGGGACAGTTTAGGTAGGAGTGTCCATTATTGTAAATTCTAAATTTACAAGTTCTAGCCCCATGCTTTTGAGACTCGGTCTATGAGTGAAATCTTCAAAACCAATCAACTGATTCCTTGCAATTGTTTCTCGGATGTACAGACAGAGAAGCAGGCTTAGGTCGGAATCAATGGGCCTTTTGGCGCTTAACATTTTGACACGTAATGCTCAATTGTGTTGCAGAAAATCACCTTCAATATACCAGTTTACAACTAAGAAGAATTTTATTTTTATGGAATTAATTGATTTTCATATTGTTTGTGTGTTTAGCTTCTGCTCTAAGTTAAACTAGAAAACTTTTTTTTTCTAAATTCATAAACTTACGGGCAAAAGTTGACGGCCGAAGCATCTTGACCAGACAACATGGCAGAGATGAAGGCAAACTGCAGTTCGTTTTGGAAGCTCATCATACAGCCTTCGACACCCTGTTGGACTTCTACCATCTTCAGTTCGTTCTTGGCGCACTCAGAGTCAGCCAAGGCAGAAATATCTGAATTGTGAACAACCAATAATAATGTTTTCGTATTGTTTTTCTTTTGACAATGTATATAGTTATGAATTTTAAAAGCTTATACGATCTAGAATTTATCAAGTATGAAATTAAATTGAAATCGTATTGTTTTTCATTTGACAATGTACAAATTTATGAATTTTAGAATCTCTAAAAGATCTAGAATTGTGCAAAGGGAATAATTAACATTAATTCGACAAGTTTAATTTTACACTACTTAAGTATCCGAATCAAATATACTGCGACTTTTAAAAAGCTTGAACTCGACGTGATTAGTGTACACAAATAAAAAAATAAACACTACTCTTTACCGTCTTTGGTTTCATCTGAACACAAGAAATCAGCCATGTTGACCTGACCCCTGACGTTATTTTTAAGCTCTGAGTTGTCGCATTCGCCCTCAGCTAAGCTGAAGCAGGAGCTGAATGCTGTGGCTTTCCTGGAAAGTTATATGTTAATTTGTATTTATTCATCTGTGTTTTAAATTAACTGCTAATTATTTCAAAATACTCGAAACATTAGACATAGTTTGATAAAAAATATATCTATAATTAGAAAAGTGAGAAAAGCTTAACCGTTGTAAATCTGTAACCGAAATTTAGATGGCACACAATATTTCACTATTTTCGGTGCCCAACAGGTATTGCAATACATAAATGTGTATTTTCTTTTCTGGCATTGTTGGCCAGTTCACCGTTAACATTGCCAGTAAATCTTTACTGCCAGATACAACATTTCCAACAAACATCAGTCGTAGTGTAGAGTAAACTGCCACATCCTGACTAATAGAATATTGTATCCTTTGTTTAATTCCATATCAATACCTTACGTGAACAATGTACTTGACATAATATGCTTATTTGATATCGGCATTTTGAATGAACGATTTGAGCCAATTACCTATTGTCTATTCACGGCAATAACCATTGATTATATTATGTGTCATAGATCAATGGAGGAGATTCGTTATTTTTTACAAAAAAATCTAACACCGTTTTATTTTTATTTGGTTACCCAGAAAAATGTTTTGCTAACATAGTTTCTTTCAGGCATCTCTTGGGGGGGGGGGGCGACAACATTGAATTTATATAGAAAACATACTTTACCAGTACCCCCCCTCCCCGCCCGAAAATACCAAGACCCCCACCCCTCTTCCCCCGAGAAAAAAATTCTGGTAGAAATATTGTTTGCTGTTGACACTTAAACATGTTATAAAGATAAAATTAAAAACAAAACCACTGCTATTACAATATTCCCTGATTTGTAGGGTGTGTGTGAAAGGCCACTTACTGACAAAACTCTTCGTAGGCTGCTTCATCGCTGAGATTGTCGACATTATCTGGTCCAACACTCTCTAGAGGGCTGGAACAAGCCAGGACACTGTCACAGCCGCCTCGTTTGACGTGTCCGCATTCTGGAACACAAGAGTAGGGGTATATCAAGTAAATACCAGTTGAGCACAACAGCATTTATATCTTTACAACTTGAACGAAATAGTGGGGTACGTCTTATCTATTTCAGATACGCGACAGGAGAAGCTTCTACTTGGGTTCTTAATTTTTTTTTTCATCGTGTTTGCCAACATCATAAGATATGACATTCTCGTGACGACGGAATATTCATCAAAATCAGATGAGCTTGCATCAACTGAACTATGATGTGACTGTTGTGTCTGGAAGATCAGCTAAACCTTACACAATTATTTTTTAGAGATGTTTGATAGCATGTTTTACCCCGGTTTTTGTCAGTTTGTTCGGTGCGATTGAATGAAACTAATAATGATCAATCTTGTAATTTGAAGAATGAAAGAAATCAAGCTAGACAAACTGAATAACTAAATCTGGAAAAAAAAGTATTATAATTTTTCAAATAAATTATTAACATTAAATCATGCAAGTCATGTGCTGGGAACAAAAAAGACATCGCACCGCTTTACTTGGTATGTTTTTTTAATCATCGGCACAAATAATGCAATAAATAAGAACCTAGACCCCAAAAAGTGACTTTTCCAACCTCAAATGTCCATTCATTTAAAAACAATCGTACTTAAAATAAAATACGAAAGACTATTCTTATTTGTCAAAATGTGATTTAAAAACGTCACGAAACTAGTCAAATAATGTCAGTGTTTCGTAAAATATTTAAAAACTAAGCACATTTGTCTAACTGTTAATCAAAAAGTCGACTAACCACAATTAATTCAGTTCGGAAAAAAAATATCTTTTTTTTTTACATAATTTGTCGAAAAAATATTTCGACATACTGCGATGAAGATCCACCTGTGCTGTAGTTATGGCTAAAATGTACACTTGATATACATATAAGTAGAGAAATTTAGTAATTAAAACCTCCTTGAAAATAATGCAAACAAAATCGGTGAGCTAAAAAAACCAATGTAATTACAGATCTTTAGCTGTTGTACGGGTAGAGAAAATGTTTTGGTCTATTCACATTGGCGTGATCTTAATTAGCTCGAAATAATCAGCTTCTCTTGACGCCTAAATATCCTACGTTGAGCTACAAACAAGCCGTCTTCACACGCCATACCGCTGCTCGAAAACAGCAAATAAAAACATTTAATTGTAAGTCGGTAGTGGCTGCTATGTCTCCCTAGTGTCGTATGTTTTTACCGTTGCTTTTCAATAAGTCTAAAACACTTAAAATAAAAAGATCATCTGATTAAAACTCGGTCAATTTTAGTGGATTGAGTGCAACAGATCTTGGAAAATGACTTAACGCAAATTTAGGTAGAAGTCAAATACACAACGTACAGAATGCAATGTATTGATTCCAATTATGAAATTACAAACATGCATATTTAAAAAATACATCGCTTCTACCTTTTGAAACAAAAACTGACTTTAATGGAGTTTGATTTAAGCTTGTATAATTAGATATTCTGTGAAAACTCGCAAAATTACATCTCATTATTACAGATACTAGTTATGATTTACGACGTCCTGTAAAGATCTAAATTATTTTTCCTTTAGCACGTCTTAAGAGTCAAGAGACTCGTTTAAAGGGATTAAAACATCCTTGCAAACTTTTCAGCTTTTTTTTCAATTTTTTTTTTTTATTAACAGGCGTCAACTTAAAAAACAAAATGGAATTTCATTACAGCAAGAAAACAATTTAAATCAAAAGTTGTTCATGCTACTGACCTGCAGCGATGTAACAAAGAGATAAAACCAAGACGAGTCTGAACATTTTGGAAGTGTGAAGCAACGAAATCTGGCTAGAGTCAATACTAACTTGTGGTACCGTTCTATCGTAAAGGCCCAGCTTATATAGGACTACAGCAGGAGTTAAATGGTGTAATGTCAGCATTTAGAGCGATTTACTTCGACCAAACATAATTGGTTTATTGGCAAATACAGCGGTCTAAGTGGCTTCGCTCGTCTGTGTGCAGGGGAAATGTCAGGATAATTTTTAAAAAGGGGTGGGTGCGGTGTCAATGGTAGGGTGGGTGGGTGGGGTTTTTGTTATTTTGTTGGAGGTGGAATCCAATTAATCACGTGGTGCTGCTATTTCATTATTTTTTAAATTATTTTTTTTTGTCGTGTATTTGTCGTAGTCCCCCCGCCTCCCCCCCCCCCCCCCCCCACCGTGATAGAAATAGAATTAATATAGAAAAAATATATACTTTTACCAGGACATAACCAGTCCAACCCTGCTTGAATCTACAAATCTCGTTAATTAAACCACACAAAGGCGCCTCATTAACCAAACCAACTCAACGACCCTATCAATCAACCGGAACTACTTACCACTTACTATTAATTGATATGATGAACCAATTATTTCCATAACAGAGATTACATAGTAACTAGCAAGTCATAGCTGAAATCATTTTTATCTGACAGCGTCCAGATGTCTGCCATTACTGCAGGTGATTCGCGAGGTATTCAACCCTGTCATCGTCCTGTACTGATGATTAAAACAGTTTCCCACACTTAGTGCATTGCAACATACCAGATCCAGGGCGAAGAACAACATCTGTGCCTCCTGATATTTACACTAGTAATTGTTTATTATAAAAAGTTAATTATGATAAAATATCAAATCAAATCATGTGATAGATATTAACATAATCTGAAGCCAAAAAAAATGTTTACACAATATCTAATTAAGCAAATTAGTTGTCTTTTCTTATTTTCAGTGCATTTAAAAGCTTCTTTCTATAACGTTTTTTTTCTTTTTAATTTTGGTTCTATTTTCTTATTTTTAGTAATTCCTAATTTATGAAGTCTACTCGACTAAAAATATGTCCTTTAAATCCTAATCAGTAGCTCGCGATAGCTAAAAACGATTATCTGCCCGGGAAAAAGCAACCGTCCGTGACCATATTTTACAGACAGCAAGTTCTTGTTACCTCCCCATACTTTAAATCGTTTAAAACTTTACTATCTTCCCCTAATAGCCCTAACTAGATCGACCTGCTCTACGATTGTAAACATTCTCGTGAACCAAGGCTCATCAGACTGATCGCGTCTTGCTAGTTATAATATAACTTATATCCCCTTCTGTTATCATAATATATAACCCCTTAATGCCTGAATTATGTTCCAAGCGTGTAAAAAATTATTTGTGCTGATTTTCTCTCATCATACTGACACTGAATTTGAGGTATATAGTTGTTTTTGAATTTTGACTTATTTTTGATGAAAATTACGGTATGTCGCGAAAACGCGACATCAGGCACTTATGGACCAAACAGTAATTTAATTTTTTTTAGTCCGGGTCATTTTACTATTTTAACTGTCACACGTTTCTCTAAATATCCATGCACAAACAATAAAATATCACAAACTGAACATACGGACATGCAAGGAGATGTAGAATCACTTGCAAAACTCATAAAAACTATACTTTATTAGCTCAGGCATAGAGTTACATAACTCTGCTGCACCTGCTCACTGACTAACTCTTATGAATAGGTATTTTGATGTCTTGCTGTCGTAATTCTACTACACTACAGTAATACACTACATATGGAAGGACTTCCTTCAATGTGTAGAGCCTTAGTTGTCCCCGGTTACGTAATTTTCGTGAACTCTTATTCAAGGTCAACTAATAAAGACGCATATTTCTCATTTGACCTATATTTGCTATACACACAAAGCACGTGAACAAATACTGTCCTAAATGACAGTGTTCAGCCATTGTATATTCGTCCATGCTCAATGCAGCTGCTGTGGGTACTTAGTGTTACTGCTGTGGGTACTCAGTGCCACCGGTGTGGGTACTCACTGCTATTGTTGATGGTACCCTATGTTTCCAATTCGTGCTACGGCTATTGTTCTCGACTGATTCTGATATTGATTACCAATGACAGTGCTGTAGCTACATATTGCCACTGCTTTAGGTACTCAGTGCTAAAACAGTGGGTACTGAGTGTTGAAGCCATGTGTACTGAGTGCTGAGGCTGTGGGTACTCACTGTTGAAGCTGTGGGTACTCAGTGTTACTTCAGTCGGTTCTTGGTATCACTTCTGTGGGTACTCAGCGCTGGAGCTGTTGGTAATCGATAACGTTGATATAGGTACTCAGCCTTAGCAGTGGGTACTCAGTAGCACTGCTGTGAGTGCTTATTGCTCAAACTGTGGTTGCTCAGTGTCACTGATGTTGGTACTCAGTGCTTAAGATGTGGGTACTCAATAACACTGCTGTAGGTACTAAATGCCAGTATAATGCCACTAATGTGGTTATTCAATAGCACTGCAAAGGGTATGTGTGTCAGCACTCAACCTTACTGTATTTATTACGAGGTGTAGGTCTATGCTCAATGTAATTATTGTCAAGGTCACTGTGAAGACCTTTATTTGGTGGTATCTAGGATAGTGGTCCACCACCTCACTTCCTGTTGTCTATTTTGTTTTTTATGTTCTCCTAATATTATGCAATACTATTTCAAAGCTAAATAAGTTATATTGTAACCAGCAGCATGATCACATTATTCAAGCATCGCTCTCTCTCCATATGCCAATGTCAATGAAACAGGTGAACTCTACTTCACCTACCACATGGACCGTAACGTTCTAAAGTGCACTTTTATATATAGGCGAAGACTGTATTGTAAATCCTTAACTTATTTGTAATCATACTTGAATGAATGACAGCTTGGCGATGCATCGTATTTTGTTATACCTGCTTGGCACCCAAGTTCAATTTGATGTCTTATTGCCGGATGTCGCGAAAACGCGACAAACCGTAATTAGCAGATAACTTCCAAAATTATTCTCTTGTGTGATTTATATTGTTTATATACATAAAAGAATGAATAATAAAGCTATTAGTATTTTTTGTAGCAAAAACGGATCACCTATTTAGTAATAATAATCAATGTAAGTAGGCTGAATTCACGAAGTCAAAAAAATTACGATGCGCGTGAGTCAAGAGAGTGTGACGTCATAAATTTCGACTTGACAACATGACCGCTGGTACCGATACAACCGTCTGGATGTAACCAATACACAACGACCGGCAGCAATAGGATAAATGTACATATGCGCAAATGCTATGCGCTAAATCGGTATGTCGCGAAAACGCGACTGTCGGCGTTAAGGGGGTCCTAATCAGTAGCTCGCGATAGCTAAAAACGATTATCTGCCCGGGAAAAAGCAACCGTCCGTGACCATATTTTACAGACAGCAAGTTCTTGTTACCTCCCCATACTTTAAATCGTTTAAAACTTTACTATCTTCCCCTAATAGCCCTAACTAGATCGACCTGCTCTACGATTGTAAACATTCTCGTGAACCAAGGCTCATCAGACTGATCGCGTCTTGCTAGTTATAATATAACTTATATCCCCTTCTGTTATCATAATATATAATATCTAATATATAAAGTTCAATTCTGTATGTTTGTAAAATGTTTGTCGTTGATTACAAAGGAAAAAGAAAAAAACAAAAAAAAAACAAAAAAAAAACGATACTTTCATGGAGTCAAGTGTTAGATTTTTAAAGTGCTCATGGTCTAAATTTATGAGTTAAAAATTAATATTTGAAGTCTTTAAAAACAATTTTCATTTTACATACTTAAAATAATAATTTTCAATTATAAACATTACACAAAATTAAAATAAAAAGTGTATCAACGTTTAAAAATGTCTAATTGTGTCTGAAATGTATTTGCATTTAGTCCTTTAGTGCTCATTACGTCCCTTGATTTAAAAAACACAGTTACTTCCCTTTAAAAAACATCGGGTGGAACAGAATTTACTTTTATTACTTTGTTTTGGTTTTGGGAAAAAAATAATTACATAATTAGCGCGGATTGATCAAGTGCAATGTTGAAGGTATTTTTAATACTGCCTTTTATTTATTCAATACACTGAACTTACTGTTTACTAATTTTTTTTTAAATCAATAACAGTTAATAAGCCAGGTCCTACATGTTCTATATGTTTATTTCTTTCCGTTTACGGATAAGCTTGGAGTATTATAATTGTTCATTAAATTGAAACAGGCGCGTCCGCCGGCGCCCCACCAGGGTTCAGTTTGACGCCCTGGGCTATCCTGTTAGCGCTATGGTGCATAATTTCGCTTTAAACAGTGCGATAGAGTATGGATAAGATAGGTTACTATAGTCTTTAAGTGAATCGAATCCGGGAGTCCTCAGGCGCCCAGATCGGATGCTATTTGGGGCCCAGGGCATTCCCGTGTTCGGTTTGGCAAAATACTATAAATAACTTGGGGTATTATAGTCGTTTATTAAGCTGAAACAGGCGATTCAATAGGGTGCGCAATGGTTTTTAGTCATGCAAATCTAGTGTAAATAAAACATGTAAAGTACTAAAACAAATTCATAAAAAACATTTTAATAACAAGCTTTTATATAATAATGCACTAAAAAGTAATTATACACTACTATTTAAATTACTATAAAGAAAAGCGTGGATCTCTTTCTAAATATTAGTACAGGTATCCAATAGATGCTAAAGTGGCCCACGCTTTTCTTTATAGTAATTTAAATAGTAGTGTGTATTTTATTTTCTACTTGTTTGTACATTTTATTACACAAAATTTTGTCATTAAAAAGTTTTTCATGAAAAAAAAATTGTTATTAGTTCGGTTTTCTAAGGAGCATAGGTGTATGCAACAATTTGTCAACTCGCTTGATTTTTTATGAAAATCGAACCTTAATAATCCAGCCTCCTTATATCTATTTCAAACGGTTTGCTTCATTAATTTTTTGTCTCCTTCTCTTGTAAACATTCGGCGTGAACCACACCAGACTGGAGAACGAGGAAGGGGGCGGGAGGAGAGTAAGATAGTTGGCTTGCGTCGTGGTGTC